CCATCAAGATGTCTGCCATTTGATATAAATAAATAAATAATGAAAATTATTAATTTGAAGTGAATCTTTATTGAATAAAGACGATTTCAACAGCCAGAAAAATCGTACCAAAAGTTTTGGCAAAAAAAAGTGTGCAGTTCTACTAGTATCCAACCATTGCCGTAAGGAATCGCTTGTAATCACCAGAAGTTGCGCTTGCAATGGCTTTAATTAAAGGCTTGCCATACTTTCTGCGGTATGCCTTCTTAATGTCTTGAAGATCAATCTAAATCATAGAAGAGGGCAAAGTAATTCTAATTCTTAGCAAAATTACATAGCATCAAACATTTTTTCCCACCTCAGAACGACCGAGTGTGAGCTGCATAAGAGCCCAATCATTGGTTGCTGTTTCTTGAATCGATTTGTGAAACCATTCAGCGAGGAGATCATCTTTGCATGTGGCGTATCGCACTTTTGAGTGAAGGAAATAGGGAGAAAATTATAAAATTTGCCAAATTCCTTTTTTGTTTTTCTATTGAGTTGTTACAAAATCCGATCTTATTTTGGCTTTTTTTCAGGTCAATCCTAGGAAGTATTGAGTTAGAATTCGTGGACAAATGTGTCTCATGGCATCATATGCTCATATTTTTCAAGACCTTCACAGTAAGTGAAGGATTGAATATGTGCTGGTGTGGATATCAAGCACAACAGTTTTCTTGGGGGGGGGGGATATCATCAATTTTGGCACAGGTGAGACCGAAATGAGCCCACCATTTTTTGTATTTAAAATAAGCCCCAGAACACCACCAGCGATTCAAACAACTTGCCTTGTTTAAATATACGATAAATTAAACGAAATCAAACTAAATTAGAACATTCTACACTTCACTTTTAGAATTCAATTTGATCGCGATTTATAAACAAGAAAAAAGATAATTTTATCAATGCTTACCTATTGCAATCAATGTGCTTTTATAACCGCCAAATTTGCCATTTTTAATGCACTGTTCAAGCGAGATTTCGTATTTCTGCAAATAAAGGAGATGAAGGTATTTAAAGACAATGCCTTCAATTCACTAACCTCTTGGTAGCATTGGGCAATTTCTTTAATCTGTCCGAAACTTCTTTGTGTGAGAATTCGCGTGAATACTTCGGCGTTTGGACTAAGTGGTCTGGAAGGGAAGCGCATTTTGTTAATTCCCAATGTAGTTCTTTGAGAAAACGAATTGGAACTAGCGTCAAGTTTACCAACAATAATGGCGGAGGGAATCCAGTAATTTATTTTGAAGTCATCACTTGACGATTGCTTCAAGAATTTCAATAAAGTTCAACGCCCAGTCATCAAATATGTGTTGCGAAATTCACTGCCAAATTTCACCTAGTGTTATGGACCTGAGATAAATGTTAATCAGCAGTTGACAAATCATATGATTAGCTCTGTTCCATGTCCATATATGCAAAATTTAAAGCCAGCTTTGTTTTGTTGGTCTCTACTAATTATTCAAAAAAAGCTTAAATGAACTTTTGTGATTGAATACTTTTTAATGCCGGAAATCTCATTTAGCCTTTCATGTGTTACACTTGTCTATTTAAAACGCGCCAGTTAACGTCATGCCTGCTTGGCCAATAGAGCAATACCACAAATTAGGTAGTAAACTTCTTTTGTGGAGGGGAGGGGGTGGGGGTGGGGAGGAGGAGGGAGAAGGAGGTGAGGAGAGGAGAGGAGGAGGGGTTACTTAACCGAACCTTTCAATGCACAATATCCTGTGACCACTTTGTGGCACTTTAAATGGAAATGGCAGCTTACATTTCACTTGCCTTGTGCAGAATATCGGCGTCTTCGCACATTTCCTCCATGCTAAGAGCAGCGCTCTCCTTGCGTACTCCCTGCAGTAAGGCCATTAGGATGGTTCTGAAATCCCCTCTTTTATGGCGAAATAGGTCTATAATTACATCGGCACTAAATTCTAAGATGAAAAGTGCAACAGAAATTCGTTTACGACGGTTGGTTGGTTGTCATTCAAAACAAACAGGAGGGAATGGAACTTACGTTTTCTGTAAGATTGTGCAACTTCTTGCATGAAGGAATTGGGATAAGGTACAAGTCCTTGAATGAGAATGTTTTCGTCGGTGTCTAAGCCCATGATGTATTCATTTAGAGCGAATGCCACTGTGTCTTGAAGATATTCCAGGCTTAGAATGACCATAACCTCGAAATTGCCATAGCCTGACCTCGTGAGGTCACATTCAATTTCCTTTAAAATCGAGAATACTGAATGAGCTATTTTAATGGACACTTTGAAATTTTAATTCTGATCTTTTGAAGATTTTTATTTTACCTAAAAAACCTCAAACAGTATGTCACTTAACTGGCTTCTAATATTAATAAAGTGCACTTTAAAATGTATTAAAATATAGATTTGCCACAAAACCGATTCTCTGAAATTGCCTTGAAATTTATTTAATAGTATTGCATTTTTTAAAACAACAACATTTTTAAATCAAATTATTACTTTCAATAATTTGAAACGCTTTCCGTTTTATCATCTCACCTTTTTATTCAATTGGACATATTTTTCGGATATTTTCACCCGCTGTTCAGTTGATCGTTTTGAAAGGATTGAAATTATTCCCTTACAATCAATATCTGAAATAAAATCAGGAGTAAATAGATTTTCCATTATTAATAGAGGTAATAATACATAGTCATTGCTAAATGAAATCGTGCTGCATATCAAATAATTCTCCATTATAGTTAGATGGACAATAGCAAATTAGTGTCAAGATAGATCGAGCTTCTGTTGTCATGTAGGTAAGATCAATAATCGGTCATCCGTTTCTTGCGTATCAACGAAAACTGTCTAGGAGGGAGAGAACTTAAAAGGCCAAAATGAAACAATACAAGTTGACAGCAGATTTGCGGAGTGCATAACACTAATAAGGCTGAACAAAGGATTTTGCTAAGCACTAGAACAGTATGTGAGGCGCGGCAGTGCTATTGATCACATATCGAACACGTCCAATTAATCAGAAATCAATAAACGGTAACGTAGTCCATATTGTACTTTATTGTCGGAGCTGTGTCAGTGACAATAACCAGAGATTTTTTTATATTTAGACAAGGCTTAATCGTTGCAGATTTGTAACGTCAGACAACTTACGTGAAAGAGGTGAGACTCAAAGGGGCATTTCCACAGAATATGGCTTTCGTTCCAGCACAGCCAAATGCAATCATTCTGCAGACAAATCGACCGCTTGATTTTGGCATATGGATATGAAGCTAAGGAGAAGCAAATGACGACATATGGCGTTTGCATAAGCGTTGCTTTTTGCCCTCAAACTAATGAATCTTTTGTAAAGTGGAGTCATTCAATTAAGCGCCTGATTTAACAGTGAAAATATGGTTGCAGCATTGACAACTAACTGGGATTCGGGTATTTAAAAATCTTTACAGTAATTATTTATACCAAAAGAGACGAGGAAGTATTCTTTTGTACAAATTTTGCTTAAACTTACCTGAGCACTTTATAGCCTTGTAGATGTTTGCAGCGTCCTTTGACGGGTCAAATTCCTCTGCAGGAAAAACGGTTGGATGTCCACTGAAGTAACATGATGCATGCGCGGTTGGTGATTCCATCGACGATGTACAAGCAGGTTCTTCAGATTCCTTGTCTAAATCATGTTTGTAAGAAATAAATTTATTTCAATACTGACTTAGCCTTCCACAATCTGCAAGAGTTAATTGGAGTTCAGATACTCATTATACACTCTCTATTCAACTACCTACATCATACGTTAAATGCATTAGTAAATAATTACACCAGTTACCCTTGTGCCACATGCTTAAAGTACAATGACGACATTCCAAGAATATAAATATCCCCCCTCCAATGAAGAGTACATGCACTAATTTGCATTTCTGCGAATTTTCAACTTGATTGGAACAGCTGATTACCATTCTCCAACATGTTTCCCTCCCGTTTCTCATGGGATGTTTAACATACTGTCCTAACAATGCGTTATTAAAGGGCATTTTATAGATAGAAAAGTGTGCAATTAAAAAACATTAGATTTGTAATAGTGTGGAAGATGCAAAGCCAGACTGAACAGATAGTTAGTGATGTTGGTGTAGGCAATATTCTAATTCTGCTGTTCTGCTCAACAGCATCCGTTTTCTCATGGTCTCAAACCTTGTTTTTCTGTATGCTTAATTTCCGACTGTAAATGCCTAGTTAATCTACTTACAATTATGCAGTAGCAACGCGCTTTTCACTAGCAATGTCTTTCTGCTAGCCAAATTCCTCGTTTTCTTGATGGTCTGAAACTTTACACATCATTGCAATATTATAATTGTAGGGAAAGTGAAGTTTAGGAGATTCAGGAATATTCGATGTATTTGTTTCAATAGGTTGCATACGTTTGCCTCTCTGTCTCTAATGAGCATAAGTGTTAAATATTCAATTTAATCAGTAATGACATATACTCACTGAGTGTACTTGAGCTAGGTGCATCAGAACCACCATTTAGAAGTGAATACGGAGGTGAAATTCCAGCCGAAGTTGGGCAAGCCAGTGTGGATACATTGACAAACTGTTCCCTTGAATTAGATGTGGAGCAAAGATCTGATTCTTCATCTAGCGAATGATATCCAAGTCTTCTTAACCTTGGTGGACTCTCCTGACTGTCTAGGTAAGCTGAATAATCTGGATGAGTCCTGCGAAATGAAGTTCTTGTTCGATCTCGGTGAGATGAGGCTGGCCGATATTGTATTGGTTGCATCTTAGCCAAAAAAAGCGAGTGCCAAGTAGATTTCAAATTTGTCTAAAGCACATAAAATGAGCATAAAATGAACTTGTTGCGGATTCAAATGGTACTTGAAGAAATTAGATTTTTTCAAATTAACAATCACATCAAAATGAGAATTGAAAAGGTGGCGTTTGGTAGTCATAGAGCCACATTGAATGATAGTGACTATTTGTTCTCGAAATCCCTTTGGTTAAAGGGCTTTTAAAATGTTGGATCCCCTCATTAAAGGAACTTTAAGGTATGACATTTTGAGGTCACCGTCTTTATGGTTAATTTTGTTTCGCTCGATCACTGGAGAACGCGTTCATCCCACTCTCATTTACAGTCTGAAGCATATCGTTTTGCCAACTTAAGTCAATGCTTGGTTGAAGGATATGATGGTGCTTTAAATAGTTTAATTATTGTCTATAGAAGACGGATTAAAAGAGGTCTAAGGCACTGGACTAACAATTATCCGATCCTTTCAAGTGTAAAATAATGATTGATCGTATTTAACACTACGTAAACAATAAATGCATGAGCGTTAAAGGCCACAAAACCTATCAAAACGGACTTCATAATAATCACATCTATTTTGAAAGTTAAAGTAAATATCAAATAGTGAGCTCAGTAGATTATAAATAAAGCGTTTTAAAATAAATAAAAAATGATGAATTAAATTGTGTCAAGTCGACAATAAAATGTGCAAGGAGCACTCACTTGAAAGAAAGGCAATAAAGCGTTCCTTTCAGTTGAGTTGTGTCGTGATATAGGACATGATCTTGAAAGTATACTCCACAGACCAATCAAAATGGCCCACCAAGGTCGTGTGAGTTGGAAAAGTCAGAAACAATGCCACGATAGCTGGTATAAAGAAGGTGATCTAAACGCATGCTGCCCACACAACTAGATCATGACCAGACCTATGAAGAGTGATGATAAACCCAACTGTCTGGGTCGAGCCTTAGAAAACCTGTGAGTATTTCACATTTGCCGTTTCTGAAAAGGCGATAGAATATGATGAAAAGTGAATACGATTAACACTTGGAGGAATACTGCAAAAATGCGCAAATTGGAATGCAATTTGACTATTCTGCCAGAACTCTGGGACATAATGAAGCATATACTATGTGTTGTCAAAACGAAATATGAATATTTTCGCTCGAAATCTCCCCGAAATGATACGTGTCCCATTATCTTAATGAGTTTCATGGGCTGCAGAAATTAATTAAAAGAATTTCTAAAAGCCCAATTATTTTGCCAAGATTGGCGTTTGTATAACTCCCACTTTATTTCATTTATACATTCTACTCGTTTAACGTCTTCATTGGGTTTCACGAATGCAAACACAATTTTAGGAGAGTCTTTAAACTGTTATTTATTTATATCGAATGGCAGGTATTATAATAGTTGACATGGGGTGCGCGATAAACTTACCTCCACGTGGTGCACCCTGTGCAACGTATACTCATAGGGCAAAAGTCGATTAACTGGCAGTTGACTTCAAACTATCGGCAAAAAAATTCTATTAACCGGCAGTTGACTTCTGACTTCAAGGGCAAAAGTCGATTAACTGGCAGTTGACTTATGACATCAAACTACCATCACCCCACTGTATGTCATTTTCGACACCTTCATAGTACTCATCTTACCTTTTCTCTCCCCTTGTGTCTGACTGTCTATTTTGCATCTTTAATGCACTCTTCTGTCCCCATCCCCTCTCGACTTTTTGTCACTTTGATGTTCCTCCTCTCCTCTGTGAAGTCCGAAGTCAATTAAAGGGCTTATGATAACTATCATAACGCCTCCAATTTGATATAAATAAATAAATGATAGTTAACACTAGTCATTTGGTTGACTTCGGGCTTCAAGGAGGGAAGGGGGGACATCAAATTCACGAAAAGTCGAGAGGGTGAACAGTAAAGTGATTCGCAGAAGTAAAAGAGGCGGACATAAAGGTAGAGGGTAGGGTTAGGCGAGTACTGTAGAAGTGGTCTAAAATGACATACAGTAGGGTCATGGTAATTTGAAGCCAGAATTTAACTGCCGGCTAATAGACCTCTAGGGCGTATGAGTATACGTTGACCAGTGTGCACCACATTGAGGTAAGTCTATAGCACACCCTAGCTGTTCTATTAAAACTCCCAACAAGTTGCCTTCGAGGGGACCTATGGTTGGTTGAACATTCTCGCAACTGTTTCTTTTGCAATGTCGAACATGTTCTCGCTTTGAGGAAAGCAAATATGTTCACTGAAAGCATGAATTTTATTGATTAAAAGTATGTGCAATGCAAGTGCATCCAAATAGTAATCACAAAATTTAATGAATTCAGAAACAGTCGATATTAACCATTTTTAATCAACCTAAGACATCAAAACAAACAACCTACATTTTTCTCCATGTGACATTTATAACAAAGAGTTCAACAACTATAAGTCAGTGACTTCCGGCAATCCTCACTTACATTGAAACATTTCTCCGTTTTCCAATAATGTTATCGACAAATCAAAACCACTCACTTTGATTTCAAAGCACCGACCAATTTCGGAAATGCAGTATCCTACTCTTAACCAAAGGTCCCATCCTTCGGTTAGTCATTTTTTTCTTTGCCATCCTATTGGATGAGATCTTCCGCAGAATCGCTTTTTGCTCACCATCTGATATGGAAATTTATGGCACTAAAAATATTTGGTAATTGCTTAGAAGAATTCTCTGGAAGTTTCGCACCTTCATTAGTGACAGTCTCTTCATTTTCATAGGCAATTTCCATTCTGGATTTGCACCTCTACATGGTTTTGTTATCCCGATGAACAACCGAAAAAGTTCAGGCAAGTGAATTTTACACCTGGGCATCAACGTCAACAGAAAAGAATCCCGACTCCATCCTCCAACATATTCAAGAGCACTATCACAATCTTTCAATATTTATTATTTATTTATTTATTTCAAATGGCAGGCGTTTTGATAGATATCATTAGCCATTTAGCTGGCTTCGGGCTTCACAGAGGGAAGGTTCATCAAAGTAGCAGAAAGTCGAGGGGTGGGGAACAGAAGAGCGATTCACAGATGTAAAAGAGATAGACGGACACAAAGGTAGAGAAAAAGGTAAGGGGAATACTGTGGAAGGAGTCGAATATGACAACCAGGGGGGGGGG